AAAACAATATAACAACTCATTAAGCTCAATTACTCACGGCAAGGCATACTGACTGACAGACTCTCTGACTGACTTACTGACTGATTGATTGACTGTCTGACTGACTGACTGACTGACTGACTCTCTGACTGACTGACTGACTGACTGACTGACCAACAGACTCTGACTGAATTTCTTCCTCGCATAAGAAAAAAATTAATTCTCTTAGTTGAACGACTAAAATGTCAAAATCAGATTTTTCAACTAGCACAAGTTATAAATCAAGATAAACTTACCTTTCCTTGGAACGAACGACAAGGCAAAAGACTGATCTTGCCAAATATAATCACCAATATATTGACTTAAATAAGCCAAATACCCAGCTAAAAGGCTCTTGTATTCCTCTTCAGTTCGTTCTGAGCCTTCCTCGGTGTTATTTCGAACATAAATCCTGTATTCAACACTACATTCGTCCATTTTTGAGAGAAACGTCAAACTCACGTTTTGTCCGCCATATTGATTTTTTGCACATGCGTGGGCTTCCTGTGTTACAATTGAACTTCTAAATTGGGTTTCCTGTGTCATCACATATTAATTTCATTTTTTTGCGTTTTTCTATTTCAACAATTTTAATTGTCGTAGCTTCTGTAGATGCTTCATAATAGGCATAAATTGGGCGTAATGTTCCCCATTTCAGTCCACGTGTCATTCCCTTGAGAATTAATATACAGATATATTGAATACAGATACAAGTCAAAGAATGATCTCATAGAAAAATATAGAAAAATTACGCTCAAAGAACAATTCATTTATATTTGGAGAGACTTCAAATTTTTTTAAATTCTCTACATAATTATTCCAATCACCCTCATTTTATTTTTAATATAATTCATTAATGAATTCATTAATTCATAATCAAATTTTTAATGTTTAAAAGCACAAATACCTAATTTGAAAGCTGCGTCTTTAAGCTTCTGGTATTAAGGCATATTATATCAGATTCCACAACGTGACATATTATAGGGCTGCCTTAGTTGCGTGACAGAAAGCCGAGTACGTTACAGTTGCGCCTACAGGGAATGTTACGCTCCACGCAATGCTTCATGCAACTTACAAAAATGCATACGCAATTATGTTGCACTCGATAATTTTTCGTGCGAGACACGTTGCTAGTGACAAAGCCTAGCTGAAACTGCGTCCTTTGAAACCTGCGCGATTTGTTCATTTTTTAAAAATATCTTAAATATCTTATTCCCAATTTTATTTTTTCCCACGAAATACATTATGTTTCTCATAACCTCGCGATTAGCTAACGTCGGCGCTTTTCGGACCTTTGATTGGTTCAGAAAGGGAAGCCATGAAAGAGAAAGACAGAGAAAACACAAAGGAAAAGACGCTTACGTGGGTAACACGAGATGAACAGGCCAATTCAAGAGCAGATTTCGATTGAAACAACATTTAGTCTGTATTTACAATAGACCCAAGAACAGTCGGGTAGAGTTTTCAAAACGGAATGGTTCTTCAATAGAATACAAATTCTGCCGGTCTTACATGTCAAGACGACCAAATCTTTTGGATACTGATAACAATAAACATTTCTTTCCTCTTGATATGCGTTTCGAATTTTTAGTAGGCTAAAAATACCACCGCCGGCTGCCAGATAACTAGTAGAAATTGATTGAAGACTTCGATGTTTTCATTTCCTGACTTTAACTACAAAATAAACGATTTTGTTACCATAAAAGGAATGTCACAAAATGGAGAAAAACCAAGGAAAAGTCGGTAAATTGGTTGCGAACTGACCGCCATTTTGTATTTGTCACGTGACCAGTCTGAAGTTGGATACTGGAAACACGTGACGAACTCGACATCGAGTTCAAACACCGTTTCCTTAAACGTGATTATTAAAATGCCAAATCTTTCTGATTCTTTTTGAACATGCACGCGTGTGTTTGATTGACAGCCACGAATACTCGATAACGCATGCGCAGTGTTTGATAAATGCCCTATTGGCCAATCTCGTACCCAGAGCCAGGTTTCTTCTGGCCTACGGCGAAGAACGAGGGCTCTGGCATAATCCATTTTTTGACACCAGGATTTCCTGTACTTCAAGTATAAGATCGCATACGTTAAAAGACTTGCTAAAAATAAAAAATAAAATTGTTCGCGATTTCTAATTTTTATTTTGATCGGAAGTAAACACAGAACTGAAAGTATGATTTTCATTGATTATATTTCACTTCCGGAAAACTGCGCATGAGCTAAAAATGAATTATGCCAGAGCCCTCGTTTTTCGCCGCAGGCCAGAAGAAACGCAGGCTCTGGGTACGAGATTGCTTATTGGTTACCTATCATGAGAATCAAGCTGTAACTTTTACAACTTTTGGGAGCGTCCGTTTAAAACAAAGTAAAAAGTCAGTTCCTTTCAAACAAAATTTTCCTTACCGTACATACAATAGACCCTTTCCGAGTTCCAAATTACCGCTGTGTTTCTTGATTACAGACTCATTTGCTCAGGCTAAGCCTCGAATCAGTGTCTAATTACTGGCAAATACCAACAGTAAAGTAAAGAACGCACAAGTTCAACAATACGAACACTTTGAGACTTGATGGACCTTGACTGGAAAAGGGAAATTTTCTTCACAAAATCGAGGCTTAGCCTGAGCAAATGAGTCTGTAATCAAGAAACACAGCGGTAATTTGGAACTCGAAAAGGGTCTATTCATTAAACATTAAAACCTTTGAAAAGCCTATCAATCACGGACCGGTCACATGATCATTCCGCCATGTTTGAACACCCAATATGGCGGCACGATCGTGTGACATCCATCTCGGGGAAGAACCAGTGTTGACAGGCTTGTTTTTTAATCTCAAAGATTCTTTACGTGAGTTGTAACTATTCAATAGCTTTGGTTTTTTTTGCGTTTTCTTTGTCATCGTCTTCCTTGAGTTCCTCGCTTTCTGGTACTTTAGGCAGCGATGTCTTCCAACTGTGTGGACAATAACGAATCTCTGGACACGAGATTGATCTAGGACGAATTTTAGGTTTCACCACCTCGAGTCTCCTTTTCGCCTCGGGTGAGTACGACACTCGTTGGGGTTGCCTTGGTTGCAAATGGTCATGAGCGTCGACTGTTTCGAACCTTGATAAATGAGCAGAAAAGGCGGGAAAGTTGTCCTCTTGGCCTCCAGCGGCGCCTTTGCGCACAGGCCTTGGGGATTTGACTCCGTTCACGCGCTGAGCAGCGTGGACGTGCTCGGCAATCTTGAGTTGTAGGTTGTGTATAACTCCCTCCACGCGAGTTCTCTCCTTCAGGTGTCTTTCCGATAATTGTGCAAGCTTTAAATCTTTTAGAAAGGACATCATTTCTGAAAGAAGGAAAGTAAGAAAGAAAGAAAACATTTAAAACATATACTTCATCTAGTGCCATTTGTACCACAGCGCAGTTGAGACGCCATGTTGTCTTGAAACTACATTTCTCGTGCGCGAGAATTCGCTCAAATTGACATCTCAAATTACATAAATGATTTTGACTCTTTTTTTCACTTCCAATATCTCTCCGAAATGCATCAAGTCTTGCCTCATTCAAAACTGAACTTAAAACTTATCTCTTCAAATTAGCATATTCTTTGTAAATWATTTTATTTTGTCGTTGTCTTTGTCGTTTGTTTACTAGCGCTTAGAACAGATTTGTATTTGCGCTTTATAAATAAATATTATTATTATTATTTTATCCTGCGCAATTGTCCGAGTTTTCAAGATTTGTCAGAGGAAAACCTAGTTGTTGGAGGTGCATCATTCACTTATGTGAAGTATAATGCCTTCTCCTCTTAGCCAATCAAAAAGCATCGCGACACTTAAATGGATTTCCAAGCCACAGAGCCGACCAATCAATACTCACTCTTATCAGCCAATTAAAAAACGATTAAATGATAAATATTATCCAATTTAATGCCGGGAAGCCACTTGAGTGTCGCAGTACATGAAGGTTCCTAGTCACGCGAGATTTTTAGGTAGGAGTAAAATTCATTTCATAAATTATCCGGGATTTACAAAGGAATTCAAAATATATATTATTACTCAAACAAAAAGTTTCCCGTTAAAATGTACAGTCAAATGTTTGTCATGCAATGCAGCTAAAAAAACGTGACAGGTCGAGGTCAGACCTAAAAGGTCCAAAAACAATAGAGTATGTTAAAAATTTGTTACGCAAATTTGTTTCGCAATAGATATAGGTTTTCCGAATTTGTAACTCAAGAGAATCATATTAAAGTCAACGTCCACCTTCCTTGCCGTTTTTCATTAGTCTTCCTGCCTTCTTAATAACAACTATTGAGTTTATCCCTCCATTCAACCCGAATTAGTGTTGTTTTTTTTAAATTATCACCATTTCTTCAGCTAATTGTTTTTATTTTTTGGTAAGTAGAAGTGAAAAATTAGGGTTTTGAAGGAAAAGAAATCGAATGAACACTGAAAGATTAAACTAGCTACAATAATAAACTGAAACCACAAAGCAATAAAGGTGAAATAGTAGAAGCAAAATAATTTCAAGTACATGGAAATGAGCTTGGATGAAGTTCATTACATATATAATCCATCTCTGCAATTGGGGAGCATTTTCTTTGACTTCAAAGGGGTCAACTAATTCAAAGTCGATCCGGTCCTAAAAATAAACTTCTGAAATGTTTTGCTTTCGGTTTGATGAACTGGTATTTTCCTGCTCATTGCCGGAAATACACTTCGTCTTGCCATTTGATTATTAATCTCTTCAAATGCACCCAAAATATTTCCCAAAATAATAACTAAAGAGAAATTTTTGAGTTTCAAAATAATATCAGAATATTAGTAGTTAAAGCAGTTATATTTCATATGATCGCGATAAAAGTAAGGAATTAATAAATTACTAGTTAAAGTTGCTTTTTAAAATCGTATGTTTGGATTTCTCCAGGTATTTTAGGGAACCAGAAAATCATTAACACAAATTCGTTGTTTGGAGGAAACTGAGCTTAGAAAACGGTAGGAAGCGGAGTTAATGATTTTAATATCCTAAAGGTCTTTTTTTAGAATACTCGAGCAAACATGAAGCCTTACATAACCTGCAATACTCATTACCGTCTTTACAAAAATGCCAAGTTACGTTTCTGGGTCTTTTGGATTTTCCACAGAACTAAAATGCTTCAATATTTTTTGTACAATGCTAAAGAGATTGTTTTCTGATAAGGAAAGAATAAATATAGCTATCCAAGAAGAAAATTAAGCAAGATATTCATACGTGACAGGAAAAGACTGGTTCTCGCTGAAGTCCTCAATGCCGAAAGATAGCAAACTATTCATTTTTTTTTTGAGGGGGTTATACCTTGACTTCCATAAAGATATAACACCGACTACCTACTGACAAAAAAATGAAAACGCTAGAGAAAACACAATAAGTTTGATTCCATGTGTTTGTACTAAGTGATTTTCGATTAGCCATTCAATTCTTCTCCAGCACTTATGAATAAAGATCAACAAAAAAATATCGATGTTGAATCAGAGCAAATTTATCGGGAACCATTGTTTTCCCCCGATATTTTTAGCGAATTATTTTAGTATCTTGTTGCTATATTTTAAAAACACCTTTTTTTTCTACCAAGATTGGAAGCTTTGTCTTAGCTTTCGAGGAAATTTGTTTTAATGCAAATACTATTTTTGCTTATGATATTTATGTATATGAAGCATTGTTTTTCTCTTTTACTAACAGTTTTCAGGGTGATTTTTCCACTGTTTTCGTTTGTAAACCTTGATTGATCCCGTAAATAGTTATTTAAGACTTTAAAAGGAGTAACAAATACCTCAACTCACCTTTTAAAGCCGAAAAAATATCGTCATAAAACTTGTCCTCTGACATTGGCGTCTGGCCTGGTATAGTTACCGTCAAACTCATCTTGGAAGATCGTCTCTACTCACTAAATAACAGTACTAAACTCGTATGGATTTTCCTCTAAAATGCTCTCGCTACCTGATGTCTATATTATCAGCATAGCAACAAAACCAAGGCTTTCAATCTTCGTTTGTCGATGTCGAGTCGAGGCGGTTCTCTTGTCAAATGCTTCGCTTCTTCGCGAAGATTTATGCACAAAACAGTTGTGGTTATGGTTGAGTCCAGTAAGAATTAGCTCCAGGGGTTCTGTTTCCAGGAAAGACGAGTCTCTTTACAATCCACACTATCCTTCGTAAATGATACCCTAATAGTACTCTCTTCTTCCTTACCATTAAGTATTCCCTAAGACCTTGAAATTACAACAGATCAGACATTGAATTACGGCAAACCTCCCACGCTTACAGCTCACACAACAGCACGATGAAATGACAGCCTCGGTACTGAGCGAGTTCAATGTCAGACCAAAGGTTGTGTGACTAAAAACATTAAGATTAAGCTTTGTTTTGGGTTGGAATTGAATATTCATCAACCAAATCTATGCGAAGATCTCTCTACGCCTTAGTTTATCATTAATACTCTTTACGTAACAGTAAGCATCCTCTAGGACTCCGCACGTCTGCTGCATGATATTATGTCATACTTGCTTTGTTTACCTGTTCTTATTTATAAGTAATTGTCATTTTAAACTACAGACAAGCTGTCAACGTACTAAATAATGAAGAAGAATAAAAAATAATTACAAAACTGATGGGCAGTGCTGCTAAACAATTAATCGAAAAAAGAAGACAGGGCCGATAAAAATATTGCTCTGTCTGGCTTGCTGTCGTAGTAACCTAGAAATGCAACTAGATGTAAATAGGAGCATCACTGGACTACTCAAGCATCTTACTGCAGAAAAGTAGAATCATGATCTTGTCACACAGTCAAGGTTAGAGGTTGTGAAGCTTTGGAGCTATTAATTACGACTCGAAATTAATTGAAAAAAAAAATTTAATCACGCACTCTCTTTGTCTTTCAATTTCTTAATTTTCGAGCTAGTGTTCCCGTTTCTCCTGTTTTCACAGGAACATTCCTGTTTCGCGTGAAATAAGAACAACTTTGCAGACTCAAAACTGCATTAGTAATTTCTTGCTACGAAGCGTATGATACCTCCCCGATTGCTAGACATTAAAAAAAAATTTAAACCACGCTAAAAAACATTTATTAGGTCATATCTCTAGGAGGTCTCGTATTGATAACGCGACTTTGATTATGCAGTTCATTTTAATTAATGATGCAGTGAATCTTCAGTTTCACATTTTATTCCAATTTTTAATATATTGATATCCTGCTCAAAACTACCTCGGGGTTGATCAAACTCAGGGCACGGCTAACTCGAAGATAAAGTGGAATTCAGCAGTGCTAGGTGTTGTGGAGGGAGAAAGACCGGGAAAAAACCCTCAAAGAAAAGGAGAGATGTGAAGAAAACAACGATTACTGTATCAGTTTGGAGTCAAAAAAAACGTATTTTCCATGTGAAGTGATATGGCTTTTGCACTGTTCATTTGCATCATAATATTATGTTAGCCGATTGAAGACATGATAGTGAAAAGAGTTCGGAATTCTGTTATCGTGTTTTGAATAAACATTTCTAAGTGAAGTTTCTTATTTATCATCTAAGTATTTCCCGTTCACTTGTATTTCGGGAGATGTGGGGGTGTTTCATAGTGTTGTTATGGCGCTGTGCCGTTATGTTTTGCTACATATGTTGTGTGGTAAGTTCCGTTTTTAGTCGATTGTTGTTCTGTGTGGTGATATGTTGTCGTTTTGTACTTTTTTGTGCAGTTCTGTGCCGTTATGTTTAGGAGGTGTTCTGTTCGTTCTGTTTTTGTTAGTTGTCGTTCTGCATAGTTATTGTCGTTTATTGTGGTTTATTCTGTTCTGCCCCCCCCCCCCCCCAGTATTTTGTGTTGTTGTATTTCGAGGTGTTGTGTTGTACGTTCTGCATTAGTTAGTTGTTGCCTGTACAGTTGTTTTATGTTGTGCTGGGTTCTTTTGTGTTGTGCTTTTCCCCTAGACTGTTAACAGCCCCTCTTTTTCTGGAAAAGTGGGGCTGTTAACAGTCTATTTTTCCCCCAGTGTTATTTCGTATGGTGTTTGCGTTGACACGAGTTGCTGCATACTAGACGAGTTGCTGCATACTAGACGAGTTGCTGCATGTTAGAAGAGTTACTGTATGATTGACGAGTTGCTGCATGTTAGAAAAGTTGCTGTATGATTGACGAGTTGTTGAATGTATGTTAGAAAAGTTGCTGCATTTTTGCTGCAAAAAAAAAAAAAAAAAAACCAACACTGAAGTGCTGCTGCAAATAAGAAACGAGTTGCTGCAAGTTAGACGAGTTGGGGTGCATGAACTGGATCTTATATGCAGAAACTCGTCTAACATGCAGCATGTCCTTCATGGGCCACCGCTACGTTGATGTGGTGTGGCAATTGATTGACGTGATGTGACAGAAGGTATTTTCCCTTCTATTATATTCTGACGTTACATAACGTGATGTTATGCACACTGCTCTTGTGTGAGCCACTGTGAAACATTATTTCTTCTCGTCTTGCGAATCTCCAGCAAGCGCACAGCTGTAAGCTAGCACGTGCTCGCAATACGAGAGATTTTAATCTTAACGTGTCAAAATACTTTATAAACACAGAGATGTTTATATCACTTAGTGTCGCTGATGTATCACTAGACAAGTGCTTATTTCCTCATAAATACGTTTGTTTGCCAGACGCTAAATGAAGTCGTTCAACAAGTACATTAATTTCCTCATCTTTAGGATGTCGTAGTCATTGAAAAGTCAAAATCAGTAATGAGACAAAACGAAAAGATTGAGTTACTGTTTTTTGTCGTTTGTTTGATATTTTTCAATATTGTTTCTGGTTTTAGTTTATGCGCATTTGATCATATACATATGTTAAAATTGCCCTTTCCATAACCACCAATTTTGTCCACTTATTTCTTTTGGAACACTAAAAAAATCAGTCAATCCTAACGATGATAGTCACTACATCAGCCTTTTTCTGTATTGCACCTACAATCACGTCTAGCCACTTTACTGATGGGTCTTTGTGCCTTCTTACGTCAACAGGATTTAGGTAAGTAGTATTGAATACTGGTGCTTGCGTCAGTGATATTTAAGTCTTAATTTCACTGCAAGCTTTTGCGTCAGGTAAAGTGAACAATTGTTCTTTTAAAAGTTGTTTATCTTTACGTCAACAGGATTTACCGAAGCAAGGCCGGATATTCTGTTAATTATGTCTCTAAACTAATGAAGTAATATTATGAACCCATCCTAATCAACTAAGTCCAACTGAAATAATCATGACAGTATTCACCCTTTGTCACCTGGTTTTTGATGCCCTTTTCTAAAGCATCTCTTATGATAGATTAAGTTTTGTCTGATCAGAGTTTGGAAGTCTAACCCTTTTTCCTGAAATGATATATGGCGATTGATTGCGGAAAAAGAATTGATGAAAAATCGATTGGAAAACCCTTACAAAAAATGATTTGATCAAACAAACGCTTTGTTTTCCAAGAGTATCTGCTCAGACTAATTGCAAAAGCAAGTAGTCAGTCAAATCTAAAGTCAATATTTAGTTTCTTTGGTTCATTATAGACGTAATTCATAATCGTTCTGTAGTATTAAAAACATATTCGCAAGGATGTTTTGAAGTATGAAGTTTTGGAAGTTCATTTATAATTAAGCTTATGACTAAATAAGGTTGTCCTAAATTTTATTCGTTTCGTTAACAAAACAAAAAACAAAAACAAAAACAAAAAAGTGTTTCAATCGCATTATGGTGAAACAAGTCGGTGTTTTGGCAAATTGAATGAGTCAAAACTACTTCAAATGCATGAGTGCTATTGCTGACCAAAACCGCAACCACCCCCCCCCCCCCCCCAAAAAGATATTAAATACTTGATTTATATCCTTCGAGTAAGCTCAACAGACTCTTTAACCGGAGAATAGGTTACCGAAGAACTACTGCTTTTTTGATTTCCTATTAAAACATCGGCGAGGATCACAAGGACCGCGGGCTCAGTAAACTAGAATTTGACGAATGGGAGACTGGGTGCTAGTCTGCGCCTTCGAGACTTACACTGACAAATCACGAGTAAAAAGAACAAATTTCGATACATTTCTGTAATTTTCAAATTGAAAAAAAAAAAAGACATAAAAAAAGGAACAAAAGCTTGAGTAGGTATAATTTTAAGGTCACCCATCCCGGTTCTAACCCTGCTCAAACGGGCTTGACTCAGTATTTTGAATGCACAAGCTTTTATCCACTGGACTACGATTCCAGGTGAATCAGCATAACAATAGCTGTAAAAACAATGCACCGAATAGACTAGACCTTTTTAACATTATCTTTTCAACCGATTCCGTGCGTTGCAGAGATGCAAGGGGTCAGCCGATATGGTCTGGGGGCCGGCTGGTCTCTCCCCTGATGCTCCGGCTAGAACATTTTCTTGCGTAATTCGTACACCCAAGGGCAGAAGGATTTAATCGCCGTCAGGTCCGAAGTCCATACGACGCCTCAGCTCTGCGGATGTCTCGGGGGTATGGCAAAGTAGAATCGATTTTTTATTTATTTTTATTTTCTGTCGGTGGGCTCGAATACCTATCTTATGCAGATAATATTTCTTTAATGCATATTATTATAAATTTGGCAGCATCCGTTGAGTGACTAACCTATTCCTTTTTACTCGTATTCTAAATTAATAATTAAGTAAGCAATCTCGATAGGAAAAATCAAGTGTATTTTCCAGGGCCGTAACCAGGGTGCACGTGAACCCCCCATCGGCTTAAGGTCCACTCATCCATCTGCTTTTTTTTTTTTTTTCGTGGTTCTGCTTTTTTTTGTTTACCTTTTTTTTGGTTCTGAAAATCATTGCCTGTGCACCTCCCTGCAAGATCCCTAGTTACGCCACTGAGTTGGTAATGAAAACCGGATCAATGGTCCGATTTTATTCGATGTGCACCCTCCCTGTAAAAGTTCTGGTTACGGCNTTTAATTGTACTACTCCTGTCCAATCAGAATCGAGTAACTTTGTTGAGTATATAGACCAAATTCAAAACTCGCACCGATGTGAGGCTTAAGTTGTGAACAAAGGAATCTGGCGTGATTCGTGACTTTTGAATCACGCCAGATTACTTTGAGTCACGCCAGATCCCTTTGTCCACAACTTAAGCCTCACATCGGTGCGAGTTTTGAATTTGGTCTATGACTTAATTTTTCCGTTCTTCATACATTCAGCATAGATAACATTCGTTCTTTCCAACAACCGCAGACCTGCAAGTAACTCTGGCTTCATAGGTATGAGCAAGACTGCCGCTCACTCAAAAGGCAACTACTTAAAAATACCTTTAAAAGCCATAAGTAGTAGAGAACTAGATAATGCGCACATCAAACTGTCTACAATAACAACTACTCGGGCTTAAGCTTGATAAATCCGTCTTTAAATAGCCAGAACAGTCGGTTGACATATATTGGCCTTGGTTTGTGATATTCCACCCACATTGTGTACACCAGTGTTAGTCGTGTTACACCGCTGCGAGAGAATATTAAGTAATATTCTCTTGACTGCAGTTACCTTCTTGTCACTCAAACGGTGGCTTCGAGATTCTACATCACTTTAAGCTTCCACGACGAAGAATTTTAGTCAATTTCCGAACTGGAAATCATAAATAGACTACGTTCGATAATTTAAAATTTAGCCTTGATTGCGAGGCCTTTGTCGTATGGTACTTCATGTGTGGTATAAACACGTGAATCACCAAATGCATTTATTGGTAGGAATAAATTAATGTACCACATACGACGCTCCTAATATAATAATAAAATATTGATAAAAATAATTGTCACTTCACCACTCGACGCTACAACCCAATCTACAGCAATATATCTACTGATATTTTTGAGGTTTAATGTCATTTGGAACATTTATTCCACAGAGCCACGGTATCGTGCTAGAATTTTAATATCTCGAAAGTGCCTTATTTGTGATAATCTTCAACCTTCGTCTTCCTCACCACACCTCCACGCAACATTAAACCCCTTCTTGTTCGGTTTTCTTTCGCACTCTTTTCGTTTTTCGCAAACAAAGGCAGACAGGCTGCTGATGACTTGGATATACTCCGGGTTGGGCTTCCTGTGGTCTTGTTTGGCAGTCGAAACGTGAGGGACTGAGGCAGACCTCTGACGAGGGTGAGGAGGGATCTTTACCGCGCTATTGTACGCCTGTCGTAAACGTTCAAACCGTTTTCCATTGCACAAGCTCATCTCTGTTTCCTCAAACGTCTCCTCCTCGTCTTGAGATTCTTTCTCATCCTTTAAAGAACTATTTGACAAAGCTACTCCCAATTCGCCGCCATCTTGGCTGTCCGCTGTGGAAGTACTTACGTAATTCCTCCCAGACAACGACAGCAAAGGCTCCTGGGATGTCATGGGTGGGAAAGACCATGATCTTAGTCGTCTTGGACGTTTCTGTTGGAGTGTTTCAGTAACATTGGTTGTCAATTGTGGTGGAGGAGAAATCTTTCGTACGGTTGATATTTTTTTCTCGAGATTTAGTCTTCTTTTTTCATATTCTGCACTCAACGATGCGCCAGCTAAGTCACTCAAAAAACGTTCTACTTCTGGAAAATGAAAAAAAAAAAAATTAACGAATCAGTAACTGAAATAATTAATTAGTAAATTCCTAAGTAAACTTTAATCAAAATTTTTAATCAAAATTAGTAAGATATCCTACGACTCCATACGGCTACATCTTAAGTACAGTATATCATGTTAATATATGGTAGAACTTCCTAAGCCTACCCGCCTCCAATGGAGAGTTTGCATTGATACCTCTCATTAAGCTGCCAACCTCTATTCAGTGGACACCTATAAAGCGGCTGACCTCTATTTAACGGGAAAAAAATTATGTCTCAAATGATTTAATTTACGCTATACTAGTTTAAACCTCTATTATGCGTCCACTTGAAAATTTATCGAAAATAAGCATTTAAAATAATCTCGTTTCTTTAGAGTGACCATGCCCAGCAGTGTTAATGACGTCACTGACTGTATCCCAATGGCGTCAGTTCATGTTATGCCATCAGTTATCTGACCTCTAAGTGTGTATATTTAGTAACCACACACCCATTACCCCAGCCAAAATAGCCGAGCATAAAAAAAGATGGTCGAGTAACAGATATCGACCGCAGCACAAACGGAGGTCGGACACTCCCAGGCTTTGAAAATGGGAGTCCAAAAATAAAATTCCAGGCTTAAAATAACCGGGAAAGCCGCTCAATCAGATGCTCTTGGCTGTTTATTTAGCTCGGTATGATTGATGATATAAAGATATAGCGGGGTCGCTTTATGTGCGTTAGAAGACAGACAGAGTTTTAGTCTTGATCGATAAGCGGACTTACCCTCAGAACTAATGCAAAGTTACAATCTATTGCTCAATCTGATTGGATGTGGGAAACGTTGGCTTGTGATTGACTCGTAAAATGTAACAGCAGACCAAAAGGAACGCGAGCTCTTAGGTGAGGACTGTTCGGGTTCGAAGTTCAAAAAACCGTGTTTTTGCAACTTTTCTGCTATGAAAACGCTACAAAAGTTGCGTGAAAAGACGCCTTTCTGAGAGAGCAGATTTTGTTCGCTGTTTTGCCCTGGGGGAGGAAGGGTCGTCTCAGCGACTGATGAACACACTTAGATGATGATTGAGTTACATAATAAAGACCAGGGATATTGGTCGCAACACTTAGTCGTCGTAAAGCTATTAATTTCCAGCAAGTGATTTATTTTTGTCCCATGAGATGATGGAGTGTGTTGTCCCTGCGGGTCACCAAAATCTGACCGGAAGTATGATGAAGACTCATAGTCGCCACTTAAAATTTTTGTTTTATCGATCAGTCGATTGATGACCGTCTTTAAGGTATTCGGCTCATTAGAGCACGTACACTATTCGTTTAAGCACGCTCCAAGGCAAATCAAAAATCTATTAGAACTTCTAAACGACTTTCTTGATTTCACATTCCAGTAATTATAACACTGTTATCATTTATAGACCTCTTTAAGATTGTCAAACAGAAAAAAGGGGTTTAATTTCTTCCGACACTGAACTATATTATCCTAGCCCTCAGGAAAAGATAGCAGACTTTAGTATTGGAAGAAAATATATTACTGACGAAAAATTTAATTTTTCATCCGAACCGGTTTCTATAGTAGCAAGATTGAACTTGGTGTAACTATGGCAACATTTTGCTTAGATAAAAGGGCCGGATGACCTGTGTGAGGCATTGATGTGAGGAATGGATAGCTTAGAGCGACTCTCTAAGGCGTTCGATATATTTTATTGAATAAGTGATTTACGATTTTCAGTATTCCCTTCAGAGAAAAATCCAAAAAAATATTTATCTACTTTGCTTCGCGAGGATTTTCTCCGGGGTTTCTGGTTATCCTCCCCCCTCAAAATCAATATTCTTTAATTTTTAATTATTGATTTCATCGGATAAGTTTCAATGCATTTACAATTTCAATCACTCTTATGTGACTTTAATTTATTTATAAATATCATTATTAATTTGTATTTATTAATCATATTATTATGATATTATTTTTATATGATTATTAATATTATATAAATCATTTTCAATTATTAACTGTTTATATTATTATCATTATGATTTTTATAATCTATATATATTCTATATAATCATCATCGTCATCGTCATAAATATCGTTATTGATTTGTATTTATTCATATCATTATGATGATATTATTTTTATATAATTATTAATCAATATAAATTATTTTCAATTATTGACTGTTTATATTATTATCCTTATTATAATTTTTATAATTTATATAAAGTTTATATCATTATCATCATCATCATCATTATTATTATACTATTTTATATATTAATATTTTTTATCTGAACAAAACATTTTAAATGTTTATCAGTTCTAAGCCCGGATTATCCACTGCGGTTAGATTACATATCATATTTTATTACCGATTTTTTATATTGGTTTGCTCGAAAATTGTGAAGGAAACACAATCAGTGGTTATCGAGCAGATCAATGTAAAAACAAAATTGGTATTGGTATTGGTATTAGGTATTAATGGGAAAGATATATTAATACATTGAAATCATAAAGGCAAGGGACAACGGAAAGAGGTTTAACGAATTTGAAAAAGGAATTAAAAGCATCCAAGAGATAAAAGTGGATGAAAGTAGGATGAAAAGTATAGCTATATAGAAAGATAAAATTTAAGATAAATTTTAAGTAAGTATTAAAGGAAGGAAGGAAGGAAGGAAGGAAGGAAGGAAGGAAGGAAGGAAGGAAGGAAGGAAGGAAGGAAGGAAAAGAGACAGAGAGAGATAGAGACCGAGAGACAGAACCGTCAACGTTATAGGATATATCGATATAGTTGGGTCAGATCTCATGCCAAACCGCATAACTATAAACCTAAAAGTCGATTAAGATACTTCGCCATCCACTACTTTTCGCATGTTGACAACAAAGAATAGGAAGCGTTGGTCAGTCAGGAAGACTCGAGCCGAGACTTCCAGTCGCAAATCCAGGAAATGTTTTAGAGGGGACGAAACTACTAGAAAACTAATATATAGCTCGTTTCCTGTAGTTTTGGCCTTCCGAAGGGGATCCATGGGGGGATAGCCATACAATGCACCTCCTGCATCTGATACCCCCCTTTAATTTAAAACAGTATGTTTGGAAACTCCAGTGCGTTTGTTAATAAAGAAAGTCGGAAAGACCATGTGGCGTCTTGTCAGCTTCAAAACAACATAGAAATACTTAATGAAATCTCAAACTGTTCGTATTTTGCAATTTTTCTATTCATAACGACTGCAGTTTGAGTACTTCTCATCGATGAATCCAAAAATAGAAAACGGGAAAAAAAATGGGTGGGGGAAAGGGAAAAGGTGAATTAAAAATATCGCTAAAGGTAACGTTAATAGATAAAACCCGACAGTTTTCCATTAAGACACTTCAAACTTCCATCAACATTTTAAATTAACGCTTGCAGCAAAGTGCCGTTAGTCCAACGATCTCCATCAATTCAAGAATTCCTTTCATGAAACTCGATGCTCTGTGGTTAGCTCAGACGACTATTCCCCAAGAAATCCGGCCGAGCCTCCTTTGGCGACCTTTCTAATGAACCCTGGTTGAGGCTCACATTTAAATCAAAACGTAATTTTTAAAAATCTTGGTTGGGTCAAGATATGATTGATGTGGGATTGGAGATATGCTCTCTCAGAAAGAAAATATTTTTTAATCTGCATGTGGAACGATAATATAGAATTGGGAATTCCATGGCATTTTGACGAGTACAAAAAGATCTAGTATACGTATATAGTGAATTCGAAATGTAGCCCTTAAGCGTAATTTAATAAAATGCTAAATGAAAGTTGGCAATAATTATAGCTTTCGCTTTAAATGATTCATTTAGTGACATTTTCAAAAATGCAGTATATTTTTCTACTTATTTCTGTCGAGTGTTTTCCTGTGTTCCTGCATAATTTTTGGGGGAAAAAACACTAATAAAAACAAAATTGGTAATAAAAATATACATACCAGAGAAGACAACTGCAACGTAAAACGGCTCCCACTCCGACTTCATCTGTCTCGTATTCTTCTGTATTAATAAACTGTGAACAATTAAGTTGACAGCTTTCTCATGAACTGACCCTAGCAGTTGTATTTATCTCGTTTCAGACAAATTCTCCAATATTTTAAAAGGATTTGAACCAAAAAAAATATTGTATTCGTATACTTCACTGATAATCCAAAATTTAGCTTCAGTTGCTCTTCAAAGCCTCTTCAACGCCTAACTCTCTCTACAATATTCTTTTGACTTCGGTGTCACTCATAGCTTTCAGATAAATATAATGCCGCCTTTTTGCAAAGTGGTTTCTGAAGCCTAACGTCACCGTGGTCTTGTTCGTGACTCTATTGTTTTGGGTCTGGAATGCTCCCGAACTCTCCCGATATTTCAGTGGTGAGTCTAACGCTTTATACCACTCAGGGGAATTTGTTTTAGGGCTGTAAATTTTCTAAGCCGTCTCTTGCGATAGGAGCCCAAGATAAGTGTTCTTGCGATTTTGAGTGAGATTTTTATCGCGAAACTACAAAAGGAAATGAAATTATCCGTCGTCGAAGCGACGCGTGCCAGTTGGATTGAATTGGCCTCTAAAATAATGCAACTTTGAAAATGTTTTTGTAGATATCGTATAGGAAACTATCAATATTGCCTTAACAACTACGAAAATGTCAAAACACGCTCTACAGGAACTATAGCATTACTTTTGTTTTTATTCAGTCGAAGGACGAGAATCACTATTTTATTACAAAAAAAAAAAAAGCAATTTATGGTACGATGTGATTGGTCAATCTAATGAGAACTGTGATTAGTTGGATCCCATGTACATTCTTTGTGACGTCATCTAAGCTGTCAAAAACCGTATGAGAGCGAAAGAAAATGTTATAATAAATGTCCCATTATATATAGATTCTTTTGTGAAGAATTCTTTGTATAGCAGTACATCACTTCGCGTCTGTATCTAGAGTAGATTTTGAAGATAGTATTTATGACGCTTATGTGCGCGAAATCTCAAGAGACGAGGAAATGGAAATCAACAATATTCATCAATATAGGAGCAATATTGGAAGTGCCTGGTCTTACTGTTGAACAAATTCATAATTAATTTTGGGATCGTGGTCAGAATTTCCCAATATTGATTAATATAGATGTCATATTGGAAGTGGTCTTCTGTTAAAAAGATCAGTTTACAAATTTCCGGATCACTCAAAACGAATGCGGTTTTTTCACAACCCATTTAAAGGTATAAAGGAGATCAGGATTCTACTGAGCCTATCCAAGTAACTATAATACTATGATAGTCCTTCGTTGAGCAGTTTGGGAAACACGCATGTCATTTTGAGCACGACCGCCGATCATTAGTTTGTGACTGCAGCTTAGCAACAATCAGGGAACTGGTAACCAGCTGATATGGGAAGAAATGCCGGATTAGCCAATCAGACTGCGAATCAAGTTTTTAATAAAAACATTAAAAAAACATAACAATAAAGAAGCAATCTCATGCGCAGCAATGAGTAGGAAAAAACTATTTTAATAAATAATATAAAATTTGCGTAAAATTATAAGGCTTTAAAATGTTTCTATTTAAAGAATAGTTCCAGATGAGAATAAGAATTTTCAATAGTCAGGTTATTGTTCATGGTTTTGGTTTAATATATAGAATGAAACCTTAAACGCTCTCGCAGAAGCGAGACTTTTTTCACTTTATAAACTGATAATGCTTGCTTTTATCCACATAAATATAAATATTGAATTCCGTAAAAACTGTCCTAATTTTATAGCGTGCGCCGTCTCTGGCTTGACAAAAAGCGTTTTCACGGCCTTTTTTTTCTCTTCAAATAATGTGCTTGAAAAATAATCTTTAGTCAGTGCGCGCGCACTTTCGACCAAGAGTCCTGTCAATCTTACTGCGCATGCTCATTGATTAATTATTACGATTATCTACAATAGCAAAATTTCATAAGATGTACATGAGTGTCTTGAATACACCGTGGTTGATCTCCATACGTATCTACACGACTTATTGCTCCTTTGATGCTGGGGACTCCACCTTTAAGTTGAACACTTGCCTCATAAAAGCCATCATTCGGTGATGTGAGGAATTGAATTTGATAAAGAGTATCTTTGATTAAGTTGTTTTCATCCTTTTGACCAAGAACTACTCCACATGAATCGCACTTTCGGTTAGCAAGAGAATTCTTAAATCGTTGGACTTTTTTATTTGGCAATTCCATTTGAGCTGTTTTGATCTCCTTTAAAGAAAGCCTGTGGCAAACTCTTTTCGGCTTTTTTCTCTCCTCTAGTAAGCTGTTTATAAAATTCACTACATAGTTCACAACTTGTTTTACTATTGAGCTATCCACAGGGACTCTTTCTAGGTTCAAACACGGGCACCAGTGTTCTTCAACTCCAGCACTAGCGCATGTACGATTTTGTGGGTCCATTGGTATAAAAAGGCTTTGTCCAAATCTTAGATCTCTTGGAGGAACGGGATATGAAATAACGTGTCGCAAAGTGGCATATATGTCAAAGGGTGTGGTCAATAGCTTAGCATTTCGTTGCACGTTCTCGTACAGTTGTGGATACTTTTTAGGAAACCACGAGGGAAAAGTGATTGACATGTGTGGCAGTCGTTCCTCTAGTTTTCCCTGTAGAGTTTTTCTCATGCTTCCATAACGAACACCATGATCTCCAAATATGAAAACAATACTTTCATCTAAATATGATTCTTTATCCATCGTTTTCAGCAGATCAGTAAGATCTTGATCTGCGTATTTCAAAGCATTCATGTTTCCATGGCTCAGGTCAGAAAACAGCAGAAAGGCAAATTTAGGGTTGTTAGGATAACTGCGGAACAGGCTCAAAGAATACTTCATTGTTACTTTATGGATGGGCTGGTTGGTGGAGCAGTAATCCTTGCGGGCATGCTTATCAGCCTCCAGCCAGAAAGGCCTTCCATAGTGATCAGTCGGTGGATTTCGAAAACCCTTCAATCGAAGATTAAATGTTCCCAGACCCGGTGAGTCTTCCGAGTACATTGTAACATACCCACGTTTTTTATAATCGTTGAAAATCCATCGCCACCTGTCAACTGGCCTGGCTTTAAACATAGAACGTCTTGCTTCAGGCTGTTCTTCCTCGGGGATTCCAGTGAGCATTGCACATAACTGGGCAGTTGTTCCATCACCAACAATGGTCTCTCCTAGAAAGACACCACAGCATTAACAATAGTGGGCCAACTGACTGTTTTCTCGATTGAATCCACACTTCATTCACTCGAGTATTGCTACTCATTGTCAACCACTAATTATCGAGAAAAAAATATATGTTGGATGAGACGTAAACAAAGAATCTTATTCTCAAAGGAATGACACGTGGTGGAAAATGAGAAAACAATGAGGCGTAAAAACCAAAGCTAATGGATTACTTCCTCATCCTTTATAATGATACTCCATGTTTACTGGAAAAAAACCATGTTTACAAAAGCTTGTCACAAGGTTGCTTTGTGTCACCAGCCAATCGAATAATAGCTGTCAAATGAAGTATAGCTAATTCAGGGACCGCGGAGACGGAGACCATACATAGTCTTAAATTTTCCAATCTTAGCCCCTACTTTTAGTCCCTTATATTTCCCCATCTTGGCCCTCCTCCAACCACTTGTTAGGATGGTCCGCGGTCCTTGGCTATTAACATCCACTGATAGGATAAAAAGTTAGATTAAAGATGGTTATCGATCAAATAGTGCAGTTATTACCTTCCAGGAAGACGGTTGGCCTTGTCTTCAAGTAACTTCTCGTGATGGGCATTTGTCTGACGAAATT